GGAGGAGGAGGAGGAGGACGAGGAGGAGGGGGGGGGCCGCCGCCCACGCGGAGGAGATCCGCCGCCGCGCACGCCCTCCGACCTGCCGCCCGGGTGGTACGCCAACTGGGAGGCGCCCTTTCGGCCAGGGTGGCGAGGCCGTGGGTTCAATGTTCGTTTTGGGGGACCCCGCGGCCGCGGATAAGAGTGAGGATACGAGTGAGGGGGTGGGCGCGGGGTGGGTCGCGGGTCGCGGGCTGAGTCGCTGGCTGGGTCGCGGGCTGGGTTGCGGGGAGAAGGGGTTGGGGGCGAGGACGATGACAACAACAACGCAACAACACTGCGCACCTCGGAATCCCACTTCAGCCACGCGCCCAAGAACAGTGAATGACCGTTCGGCCCCCTCACTCTGATGTATTGCTTCGCCGATCGGTGCAGGCCCCAGGCCCCCCCGTCCTCCACCCCCATAGAGCAGATCTTGGCTGCCTTGGGCGGCTGCTTCAGGCGACCGGTTATTCAATCGCTTCGCTCATTCCGTCGGCCCTCGAGCGCTCTATGGGGCCTCTTTGAAGTTGGGGGCCTCTTTGGGGCCTCCTAGGGGCCTCTTGGGGGCCTCTTTGGGGTCTTTTGGGGCTCCTTGGCGGCGTCTTGGGGCCCCCTTGGGCCTCTTGGGGGGCTCTTGGGGGGCTCTTGGGGGGCTCTTGGGGCGGGGTAGTCGAGTGCACCCCCTCGGAGGCCACGATCCTCGTGAGGGGTGTCGAAAAAGAGGCCATCAAAACCATCTCTGAGCAGACCTGGTCGGGCTGCGGTCGGGATACTTTTCGCCGGGGGACCCCCAGGGGCCGCCCCGCGCGCGCGAACTAGAAATATTGTTACTCCAGATTTCGTAATAAAGGGAGGGGGGTCTCATTTCGGGGGGGTCTCTTCCAGGCTATCTTGGAGGGCCTGGGGGGTCTGGGGACGATGTTTTGGAGGGTTCTCCCACGGGGGAGGTCTGAAATGGCTTGTCTTGGATGGTCCAGACCCCCTCCCTTTTGTCACGAAATCTGGAGTACCCAGTTATCGGAGATCTTAGCACGCCTCTGGCCCGTTGGGCCGGCGAATCACCCCCCTTCCCGACCTGCTTGCACGATTGGTGGAAGCAGATCGACTGAGCACCGGCCCAGACCCAGACCCCCCCCCTTCCCACCCTTCGGCCACACGTCGAAGCCCAGAATATAAAAAAACGCTCACCTTGCTGGGGTCCAGCTGAAAAGCCCGTTTGACTCCAGTACGGTTCTTGTTCGACTCTGCCTCGACTCGATCTCGACTCAAGTCGACGAACGTTCGACGCCGCGTCGAGCCGAGTGGAGAGAGTGGCTCCAGGAAAGCCCCCAGAAAGAGCGTCCAAAGTTCTGGCCAGGGTGGTGAGGCTGTTGGTCGGGGCCGACTACATAAGCAGGGCTGTGCTATAACCAGGACTTTGAGAATTCCACCTGGAGAGAAAGGAGGATGGGGCACGGTTCGACCAACGGCCGCCGTGTTCTCGGACGCTCCAGTGCGGTAGGTTCGTGTCGTGTCGACCGGCGGCGACCCCGCCAGCTGCGTTCAGTGCTGAACGCCGCGGGCGACCCAGAATCGTTCGATGTGGAACGATTTGGACACGTCGGAAACGGCCGATCGCTCAATGTCTCACGATCCCCACGGCGTCAGAAACCAGCGCCGAAATCGGGACGACACGAACCTGACGTATCTTGGTCTGTCGAAGGTCCAGTGCCGTTTTTAATACATGATCCGCGTGCGGATCATGTATTATCAATGCAGGGATTTAGTCTTGCAAACAACGATGAGTTTATGCATACATCTGTTCATAAAGTAACCATGTTTTTAAAATTCTATATTTTTCAAAATCCTATGTATCAAACACTGCCCTGTCCTTTCTGGGGGGCCCCCTGGGTGAGGGGCCGCGCACGGGGCCGGCGGGCCCAGGCCCTGCGGGCAGATCGTTCCCAGAGCGTTCCGGAGCGCTCTCAGAGCGTTCTGGAGCGCTCTGGGAACCCTCGATCGTCGTCGTCGTCGTCGTCGTCGTCGTCGTCGTCGTTGTCGTCGTCGTCGTCTATCGATCGATCGATTGCGGCCGTCGTCGACCGAGGCTCCAGGTTCGAGGCTCGATGGCCGAGGATCGAGGATCGAGGTCGGAGGTTCCAGGATCGAGCAGTCGTCGATCGAGGCCCAGAACCCCTCTGTCTCAGAGATGCGGCGGCGAGCCATGGGCGGAAATGAGAAGGAGGAGGCCCTCTCGGAAGGCGGCGGGACTGCTCAGAAGCCCTCGCGCCTTCCGAGAAGTCTGGCCTGTTTTCGGGGAAGGCTTGGACAACTTCTCAGAGGGCCGGGGGACCTCCGAACCTTCTGAGAAGGCCTTCTCCTCCTCACTTCCCCCTTTCGCTCGCCGTCGAGAGATCCCCGATCTGTCCCGGTCCGATTTTGTCCCGGTCTTGGCTTCGACTTGAAAGTTTGCTTTTTCAAGGGGGTTCCACGGGGCCCGCCGGCTGGCCGAGGCTGGTGCGGTCTTCCGTTTTCATCACTGGGCGGAGCTCCCGGTCCAGATGTTCTGCTGTGCCACCTCATTCCTTCTCTTCCTGTTCTCCACCCTCTCCCCCTCCTCCTTCCCCTCCGCACGGAGGTGATCTGCGCGTCATAGCTCAAAGTCTGTCTACCCTCCAGCTCTTCCACCCTTCTCCTGCATCAAGTTCGCCTCCTTTCTGGCTCACCCCTCCTGCATGGACGTCGTTCGCGTTGCCGAGGCGCGACGCGTAGACGAAAGCAGCATTTGGAAAACGCTTTGTGCTCCAGCCTTGTATCACCACCCACCAAACCACCCCAACCCAACCCGAAGGCCTCAAATTGACCTCCATTTCCAGTGGGGGGGGGTCGGGGAACATCGAGAAAACACATATGGAACCCGTACCCCCCCCCCCAACCCGATGTTCGGGTCTTCGGGTTGGGTTGAGGTGGTCTGGTAGGTAGCCACTGCAACTGTTGTAGCACTCGAGGCGAAGGCGCGCGGCGCCCATGCCAGAGCCCCACTCTGGAGAAGGGACCGTCCTCCGTGCTCGGAGAAGGTTGCAGTCACACGGCATGTGTGCGCGTCGCGTGGGCGAGAACCCTCGGGGGCGGAAAAGAGGGGGGTGACGACTAGGGGGGTGTGGATAATCATGGCGGGTGCCATGATATCTCCCCAGATTTCATGGCGCCTCTTCTTGTTTCATGACGTCCCCGGCCCCCCCGCTGGGCCGCGCACGTGCCGCCGGTCATGATTTGCACCCCCCCCTCTTGGACACCCCCCTCTTGGCCGCTCCCGAAACCCCATTGTGAAAAGAAGCTCCCCTCCATCCCCACAGCTTTTGCACACTTCTGAGACGAACGTGCGCGGCGTTAAGGCGAGACCTGCGTATGTTGTTGGAAACTGCCCCCTCCATCCCGAATGCTGTTGCGAGATCTGAAAACGAATTCAGGCGACGGCCATATTCTGAAAAATGATTCGCCCTCCATTTTTGAAGCAATTGCAAGCTTGTCAGTCGAATTTGGCGAAACGACCCCTCTCCATCCCTAAAAGCTGGTGGACAGCTTGAAAACGTATGTGCGCAGTGCCAAGGCGAGGGTCACATGTTGAAAATAACCACCTTCCGTCCTTGAAGCTGTTGCAGGATCTCAAGCTGCAGGATCGCCCGCCATACGGACAAGTCCAGGGGTACGAGAGGGAGGAGCTCTTCATAAGGAAAAGGATGGATGATAATGATGATGACGACGACGATGACGATGACGACGATGATGATGCTGATGATGATGGTGCTGCTGCTGATGATGATGATGGTGATGTGACGACGACGACGCTGCTGCTGTTGCCGTTGTTGTTATTATTGTTGTTGTTGATGTGGTTGTTGCTGTTGGTGGTGCTTGGTGTTGTTGTTGCTGTTGACGTGATTGTTTTTGTTGCTGTTGCTGTTGCTGCTGTTGACCTTTCATTTCTGAAGAATAATATTGTTGATCCCCCCTTCGGTGACCATTGTATTTTTTTGATCGAAGTGCTTCCCTCGGGGCTCGCACCTTGTTTTTACCAGGGAAAGTCTCACGGGGCTCAAACTGTATTGTTGGCCCTGGTTTACAACAACAGCGGCTCCCAATTGATACCTTCTCACAATGTATTCCCAAATCGCGCTCTCGCGCGGGACTTTCTCACAATTTGTATACACATCGCGCTCTCGCGTGGGACTTCCTCGCAATTTATTCAGACGATGCCCCCTCGGCGCTCAGGAATCACGCTCTCGCTTTGGCTTTTCTTGCGATTTACTTGGGACCCACTCTTCAGCAACCCGCCTGCTCGACCTGGTCGCCTGGGCCCGCTACGGGTCTGCCCACCCGATCTGCCCGTCTGGTTCTACCAAGTGTTTTCTGCTCCTTGCCCCCCTTCTGCTAATCTCTCTCGTGCTCCATTCTTTTCCTCCCCTTTGTACCCGTCTTCTCGTCCCTTGTTTCAGGGGCTGCACTACATGCACGTGGCAGGTAAGGAAGATATACCCCCAGGGGGGTACGATCGAAGACGACTAGGGCGTGTGCCGAGGGTTCGGGATATACGTATTGATTGGCACGTGAGCAGAAAGGAGTGAACAGTCTTATCATGATTGAACTCTCATTTCTGAAGAATAATTATTGTTGATCCCCCCTGTCCAGTGCCCATTCTGGTTTTTTTCAATTGAAGTGCTTCCTTCGGGGCTCGCGCCCTGTTTTTTGACAGGGAAAGCCTTGCGGATCAGATTGCGTTGTTGGGCCCCGGACTACAACAACAACGGCTCCCGCCTGCGACTTCCTCACAATTTACTCAGGACCCCCGCTCCCGCCTGAGACATCCTCAAAATTTACTCCGGAAGGGCGCTCCCGCTTCAGACTTTCTAATATTTTGCTTAGAAACGGCGCTCCCGCTTGAGACTTCCTTAATCAGGACCCCTGCTCCCGCCCGAGACTTCCTCATAATTTACTCAGGGATGGCGCTCTCGCTTAGGACTTCCTCGCAATTTATTGCAGCATCGCGTTCTCGACGCTCAGGAACCACGCTCGCGCCAAGGACGCCCTCGCAATTTACTTAGGAATCGCGCT